AACGGATGTGGTGACATAAAAACATCCTAAGACACTGGGTTTTAAAAAGGCAGGTTTCAAGGGGCACCTGGGTGGCTCAGTTGGTTAAGCATCTGACACTTGGTTTTGGTTTAGATCCCGATCTTGCAGTTCGTGGGTTCGAGCCCCATGCTGACAGTGTGGAGCCTGTTTGGGATTCTCTCTCTCCCTTTCTGTCCCCACCCCCCTTCTCAAAGTAAATAAATAAAACAAACAAAAAAAAAAAGGCAGGTTTCAGAATACATACATGTGATATAATAATAATAAAAAAATTTGTCTTGGTCCTGGTTTGTGCCACAGGCTCAGAGGACTCTTGGAATCCTCTGAATGATGAAGTGTCCTCTGACGGTAATGAGGTGACTCTTTGCTAAAGGGCACCCAATGCCAGGCAAACCATGTCGTTAGAGGGTTGTGACTTTCAGCCTCACATCCCTACCTCCAGGGAGGGGAAAGAGGCTGGAAAATGAGTTCAGTCATCAGGAGTGAATGATTTAATCAATCGTGGCTACGTTAATGAAGCCTAGATAAAAATCCTTCAGCAGTGAGGTTCAAGGAGCTTCTGGGCCGGTTAATAAACACGCCATCTGGGAGGGTGGCACCCCTTAACCCCGTGGGGACAGAGGCTCCCACACTCGGGACCCTTCTGGACTCCGCCCTATCTCTCCTCCTCTGGCTGTTTTTTTTGTACCCTGTAAACGGTAATAATCAGTACAGTGTCTTCCTGGAGTGTGGGAGTCACTTCAGCAAAGTGCTGACCCCAATGAGGGGCTGTGGGAACCCCAGATTTGCAGCTGCCACTCAGGGACAGTCTGAACGGCGGCTGAAGTGAGGGCGGGCACCTGGGGGCCTTTGTTGACTCTGGAGAGTGGGTGCTGGGACGAAGTCGAGTGCTTGGATACGCCGAGTCGGAGACCCGGGTGGTGTGTGGAGAGCGAAACATACTTGGTGTCAGGAAATTCTCACGTTTGGTGTCAGGAAGGGGACATCACAACAGGGAACACATGAAACCAATTACGGAAGGCGCCACGAGGCAGGGCTGTGGGCGTGCAAGCGTGTGGATGAGAGGGAAGGCAGACCAGAAGGAAGAGAAATGTTCCTGAGAATCAGATTACACCGGCTCCGTCTAGGAACAGGACTAAGTTCAGAGATTAGGGCTCCTGGAGGGCTCCGACATTACCCCGTTGTGGTATTTATGACAAAGCGTGTGTCACTGCATTACTTGCAGGGTCTGGGAGAAAAAGGATAATTAACAAAGACGAAAGCCACACGGGGCCCTGCAGATATGCCAATATTCCCCGTCTGCTCCCCGCTCGCATCTTGGGGACCACAGCGCCGATCGCTTGTTTGCACCAAGTAAACCCTCCGGCCAGTGGCCTGACTGGCCTCACAGAGGACCGGTGCCCAGGCTGGGGGTTTCATGTGAGGCCAAGTAGACGGTGTGGGGGTCAGAAGGTGGCAGTGGGGGGAGCAGAGCTGGCTCACCGTGCAGCCAAGGCACAGGCAGGGGAAGGCAGAGGGGCCGGTCTGCTGAGCGAGGCCACAGGGAGAGGCCCCGCGGGCCCAGGAGAAGCAGCAGGAGTGGTCTCTCTCCACTTCTGGCCCCATCAGCCTTGGCCTCCCCAAGAGCCTCGGGGGCCTACTCATTAATCGGAACTGCTGGAAGTGGGTGTTGACGACACACAGCCCAAATGACGTGAGTGGCTGTACCTACTTGCTGTCATGAGCAGCAGGTGCTTTAAAGTCATGAGAAATGAGGACACAGGGTGCCTGGATGGCTCAGTCGGTTGAGCGTCTGACTATGGCTCAGGTTGTGATCTCATGGTTTACCAGTTCGAGCCCTGCGTCGGGCTCTGTGCTGACAGTGAGGAGCTGCTCCAGATTCTCTCTCCCTCTCTCTGTCCCTCCCCCGCTCATGCTCTTTCTCTCTCTCAAAATAAACAAACTAAAAAAAGTGAAGACCCAATCTCCCTCCCATGCAGGGAGCTTTCTGCAGACAACAGCCCTGACTCACAGACGTAAGTTGCGATGTGTACGCGCCCTTGTGCTGATAGAGCATGGCCAGTGGGGCCACGCGGTGAGTTTGGGGTTTAGTGCCACATGACCAGGCCCACCGCAGCCGCCCACCCTGACCCAGAGTCAGTACGAGAGTTTCTATTCGCAAAGAATGTCCTGACCTAGCCTACTTTTAGTCTCAACATCCTGAGTAGGTGATTCAACACGTTTAGTGAGCACGTGGCAGACATTGCTGTGTATCCATGCCCCTTCCCCCCTTCCCCCAACTCCTCTCACTTCGAGAATCCTCAGGTTTTTTCAGGTGGCAGCTGCCTCGTGCTTCAGGGAGGCCGGGCATCTTCCGAGCTGCAGGGAGCAGACCATTTGGTCTGTACCAGGGGTTTAAGAAGAAGCACGCGAAGGGCCTTATGCCACACACATGAGCTGGGGGGAAGTGTGCTGGGGGCAGTCCTGGTGCTTTTCCTGGACCTCTGACAGGGACCAAGGAAGGAATGGTCACCCAGCTTGTGGATGTTCGCAGGCGAAGGTGTGTGTGATGCCGGGGGGCGGGGGGCGCGCAGCCCTCCTGTGAGCTGAGGACACACCTGAGAACAAAAGCCAATGGGCTCAGCATGGCAGAGCAGAGAGACGGAAGGAACCTGGGTCCTTGATGTCACCTCCTGGGCACTGAATCCACCACCAGACCCCTCCCACCACTGACTCCTACGCAATACAAACAATACCCTTTGCCCTGAGCCATTTTACAGTGAATCAACTATTAATACAGCCCGAAGCCTCCTGACTGGTGAATGGATCCACTCAATATGAGGACGAACTGAGCACGGTGACCCACGGGCTTATGCTTGTTAAGAGAATCAAAGGCAGGCACCTAGAAGTGAGTTAAATGGCAGCACAGGGCAGGGAGATAGGCAGGTCTGGATGGAGCTGGGAAGTGTTTCTGGCTGCCCGTCCTGGGCAAAGGAAGTTGTGTGGGCACTTGTGAAGCTTGCGAGCAGCAGGCCCCGTGCAAGAGAAACCCGTCCTCTGGGCATGGGGTGGGGGGGAGGGGGCATGCAGCCACCGAAGCAGTTCTGTCCATGGGTGCTGCTGGGAAGGAGGAAAATAAAAAGGAAGTAGGAAGTGACTAGAGCAAAGCCTTTACCCCCAAATGTAAAGGGGAGGAAATGACAGCCTTGACCTAGTGTAAATCTGCCCCATCGCTGACACCCTGAACACCTCGGTGCCTTTGCAAACACACTCGAGTGTAACTCGTGAGAATGCCTGCTTTGTGAGTGTCCTGAGCCATGGGGCCTGCTCTCCCGACACTGTGAACCCCTTCCTAGCAGCTGAGCGGGGTGAGCACCAGCCACCTGCACAGACAGCTGCAGGGGCGCAAGCAGGGCTGCGGAGGAGGTGGGGGTGACCCTGCTGGTCGGACATAAGGGGCCCCCATCCTGGGCTGCTCCTGTGTGCCAGGTGCCGTACCTGTTACCTCCTTCCATTGTCATGGCAACCCAGAGGGGGATGGGATCATCCCCGGTCTGTAGACAAGTGGTCTGGACTGAATGGTATCCCTCAAATTAGGAACCATGGCCTGGCCCACCTGTTCCCACCCAAGGACTAAAGGCCAAGGTGAGCGGTGACTCGCCTCCTGGTGTCCTACAGTGGCTGAAATAAACCCTGGGACTGGAAAACAGGTGGGCCTGACCTAGTAGGAGGCTGGATGCACGTGCCAAGTGCCCCAGGCTTCCCTCCCTGGATCGATCCCTGGAGAAACCAGCCTGTCAGCAGGCTTGTGAGAGGCTGGTCCGCATCGTGCATCCAGACCCCAGGAAGAACACCGATGTCCTGATGCAGGAGAGGGGCTGAGCGACATAGCCACGCGTGATGGGGGGGGGGTGGAGAGTAGAGGAGGGTACGGCCATGCCCACCCATGTGGATGAACCTTGGGCTGGGCCGCAGAGCACAGCAGCAAGTCACAGAGCGCACCTGACGCAACACTGTCCGCCTACGTCTCTAACACACACACGACTAGACCTCATACAGCACAACCACACCGAGGAGCCAGGAACGGATCAAAACCAGAGTGGCAGCCCCCCGGGGAGGTCAGCACAGCAGCTGTGACACCCAGGGACGCCCAGGGGATGCTAGTGATGCTGGGAACTGGGGAGCAGCTTAGCTAGGGACACGGTGTCCATTTCATCATTGTCTCTCTCTCGCGCATGCACACACACACAAAGTATTTTATGGGCAAAACCATGGCTAGTGTAGTTAGCATCAAAGAGAAAACCATCGTGGGCACCATTTCAGATGTATTTCCTTCCCGTGCCTTGCTGTCAGTCGGCCTGACCCAGCCTGGTCTTCACCTGGTGTCCAGCTCCAGGCAGTTTCCTCGAAAACCATTTTCCCAGAAATGCGCCCTCAGATGCGGTGCCCCAACACACCGTTGTGCTGCCCCCATCAGTCCCGGCCAGCACCAGCGTCACCCCTGCCCCAGCCCTCAGCAGGCCAACCCTCAGCAGGGGCTGGCCTCTGTTACTCAGTCAGACCCTAGATCACATGGGTCTTTGTAGAAATAGCGGGAAAAGCAAGGTCACGGTTCCCAGGCCAGGTACTGCAGGAAGGGCCCCTCTGCTCGCTTTTTCACAGGACAGAGAGATGACCTGCCTGTGGACCAAGTCCATGGCAGCTGTGGGCCTCACCTGCCTGCCTCATTCACTCGAAACACTTCCCGCGAGGCCCCCTATGGCTGTTTAGATGAAGTTACAAATCTTGATCTTGGCCCCAAGGCCCTGCCCGGTTTGCCTCCTGCTGGCTCCCGGGGTCTTATCTTGACTGCGTCTCAGGCTGGCCAGTCTCTGCCTGGGTCTTCGGCAAACTGGCTCACTGCACCCCACTCTGCCTAGAATCTCCCCCCACCGCATCCCTGTCAAGTGTCAGCTAAGCCTTGCTTTACATTTTATACACCAGCGGTAACTCAAGCGAAGTACCTGGCATGTGGTCGGTGCTCAGTAGACAGCAGCCGCTGTCCCGTTACGGAGGTCCAACTTCCACTCCTCTGGGCTGGCGCCCGTCCTTCCCTGAGCCAGTCTTCCTCTGGGTCTAGAGCAGTGATGGCCGGAACCTATAAAAGGAAAGACAATCTGATGTGGCATGAGGCCGAGGTTGGAGACAGAGAACCATTCAAGAATCCAAGATGCGCCGCCTTGGAAGAAAAGGTTAGAAAATCCCAGGTGACATCTCTCCAGGTGACAGTGACACAGGGGACCACGGCCAGGAGCTGCTGGGGAGAGTTCCGGGCCATGGCCAGCCTGGAAGGCCACTGGCCACACCCAGCAGAGGCGTGGGCGGTGGCCACGGGGTTAGTCCTGGCCGGGGCAGAAGGTCTTTGAAAGTCATTGATAGTAATGCTTGCAGAGTGGAGACACTCTAATCAGCTACCACTTAGTTAAGTCAAGAGCGGCAAACTGCATTCCTGAGCCCACAGGAGCCCCCTTCACCATGAATTATGCCTTCAGCCCCCTGCACACTCATGGGTCTGGGCAGGGGCTCGGCATACTGTGATTTCCCCTAGGTGGTGTTCCTTATGGGGAGTGACAAGGCTTTCCTATGTGCCGGGCACAGCCATCCAGGAGCCCCAGGGGGGAAGGTCGGGGAGGGGGCGAGAGGAGGCACGACTCCTGAGAAGGTGAAGCAGTAGGGGGACCTGACATGTGGCCCCACAGCTGCTGGAATCCCTGCGGTCAGGGCCTCAGGCAGCTGCTCCTGGACTGACCGCTCTTAGTCAGCAGTGACAGGGACCCTGGGACATCACTGTTTAATCAGGAACTTGCTTTGTTTCGGCTTTGAGAATTAATCACAGGTGACACTAGATCTCCCAGGGCTGATAGAAGCTGTTCTTGTCGGCTGTCAGCTTCGATCGGAGTGAGCCATCACAGGCCCTCAGCCCCGGGGAGGTGGCAGTCACTTGCTTCTCTGGAGGACACCATCTCCTTCATCTCCTTGTGGCCTCCCTGCTCTGCGGCTGGGCTGGGAAACGGCCGCACTGCTGGCCGGCACTGCAGGGCAAAGGCCGGGGCGGCAGGTGACCTTCAGGCCTCAGCGCCCCAGCAGAGATCAGCGGGTGGCCCCCAGGCCAATGCGCAGAGGCAAAAGGAAATTCTACTTCTCCGCACTGGCAATGAAAAGCAAGAGAACACGCATTTCTTTTATAATTGGAAGAAAAGGCTTCCTACAACATTAACTGTAAGAAGGATTTTAAGTGCAAGAAAGGGAAATGAGATTTGTACGGGGTTGTGAACTACCTAACATGTCAACGTAGGCTGGAAAAACTGAGACACGAGCCAACCAGCACTGAGGCTAAACTTTCCGTTTCTGCTGTCAGAATTTTGATTACACCCTCAGGAACCTGGTCGTAAGGTGGGGAGAATTTATAGGATATGTCTCTTTTTTTTTTTTTTTTAATTTTTTTTTTTTAATGTTTTATTTATTTCTAGGAGAGAGAGAGAGAGACAGCATGAGCAGGGGAGGGCCAGAGAGAGGGAGTCACAGACTGAAACAGGCTCCAGGCTCTGAGCTGGCAGTCAGCACAGAGCCCGACGCGGGGCTCGAACCCACGAACCGCGAGATGGTGACCTAAGCGAAAGTCGGAAGCTTAACCGACTAAGCCACCCAGGCGCCCCAGGATATGTCTCTTGAGGGAGTACCTTATTGGTCTAACAGTGCACCGGCGGAAACACCATCCCTGATGCTTACAGACGACTTACCCTGTGCCAGGCACTTGCTACGCACAACTGATAAACCTCAAACTCTCTGAGATGGGTGGCACGTTATTATTGCTACCATCCCCTCCATTTTATAGCCAAGAAAACCAGACCCGGGAGAGGTGCAGAGTCATACCATTAGCCTGGAAGTCAGGGTTTGGACTCGAGTTTCTCTGACTTATTCTTATTACCATACGGCGCCTAGAATTGCTTTTAAAAAAATAAAAAGTTAACTCTGAGAAAGACTATAAGCAGAAAGTGTATGAGCACAAGCTCCCTGAAATATCACTTTTACAGGCAAACTTCAGACGTAAGTAAAACTGCGTTCTAAGATTGCAGCTATTGGTTCAGTGTTAAAAAAGAACAACTATTGCTTCTCAAGAAAGGAATTTTTTGGTGAGTTATTGGCTGTTATTCAAACAACGTCAAAGCCCATCCTCCCTACAGCGAAGCTGTTTAATCGACAAGCTTGGTTGCCTCCTACTTAAGAATAAACAGAGAGCCAAGGATCACTTGGTGTTTGAGGAAAGTCTTCATGTGAAAGGAAGAGATCAAGAGACAAGTCGATACAAAGAACTTGCAGGAAACAGACAATGCACAGAATAAAAGAAAACTTAAAAAAAAAAACCCACCCACATCCTGATAATTCAAATCCATTGAGATGAAATAAGATATTGTAGCCTTGAAATAAGACTAGGATGCTATGAAAAGAACACAAGGAAGAGTTCTTAGCAATTAAAATAAAGTGCCAGAAATTTACCAATAGAAAGTCTGGAATACAACGTTCAGGAAATCTCCCAGAAAATTAATACAGAGAAGAAAGATAAGAAAGGGCAGGAAAAATGAGGTTAATTTAGGTTTAGTAGCCAATTAACTGGAAATCCTGCAAAGAGAGTGTAAAGGTTATGTTTCCTTCTTATCTAGTTTTTGGGGCCATAATTATCAGAAAAATAGTTATTAGGGATTCTCAAGATTTAAGAATCTGGAGATTTAAGAACAAGAGTCTTCAGATTTAAATTGCCCTTTGGGCCCTCAGTACAATTAATTAGAGGAGAAAGAACCTTCTTAGAACATTGTTGTGAAATTTCAGGTCATCGGGAAATAAGAGAAGACCCTAAAAGCTTTCAGAAACATCAGGTCAGATACAAAAGACTAGAAGTAAGTTTGGTATCAGAACTTTCAATAGCAATACTGGAAGATGGGAAACAATGAGGCAATGGCTTCACATTTGTGATGGAAAATACTTTGTAACCTAGAATTCTATTACACTGCCCCCAAACTATTAGGCGTGAAAATAGAATGATATTATTTTCAGAAAGGCAAAGACTCTAAACATTTATCTTCCATGTACCCCTTCTTAAGAAGCTACTAGAGGATATATTCTGGAAAAATGAAGGAAGAGAACAATAAAGAGGAAGGTATGGAGCTCAGGAAACAGAAAATCTAACTGGGCAAAGCAGCATGGAAAGTTCCAGGATGAGAGAGATGTGGCAAGATGCAGGTGGCCAAGCTTATGGCAAGATCACGGAGGGGCCACTAGAGGGAGGTGGCCGGGGGAGAAATGGAATGGTCATCTGATATATTTCATAATTTGGGAAATGATGTTGTTAGGCAAATGACCCAGGTGAGATGGAAAAATAATGAAGGATAGGCATATTAAAAAAAAACTCAACAAATGAAAAAAAAGGCAATATTAACTCCAGGACAAAAACAAAAAGATAAGAAACAGTCACAGCATACAACTTGCCTCAACATAAACAATATTTATGTAGAGACTATAATGTGACACATAAAACTGTGATCTAAATGCATTGACAGAATGGAGGAAGGGGAGATGCAAGGAGTAGGGTACTCAGAAAAGAGGGCTAAACACTCATTTACCTAAGAGTATGTCAATAAATAATGCCTTAAAATGGATATGTTGGTAAACAGCAATGCAAACCTATTGGAAATAAGAAAGAAACAAAGAGTTACCTCCATTGTCTCTACACTTATTCTATCTCTCGTAGGCTTCACCATACAGCCCACTTCTTCATACACCAGCGGTGCTGACTGTGTGCTGGGCACTTCACAGATGTCATCTCACTTCACAGGAGCTCCATAAGGCAGGTTTTAATATTCCCACTTTGTGATGGGGGTTGGGGGGTGAGATCGGAGAGTTAAATAATGGGGTGAGACCCCACAGCCACGTTTCCAAGTCAGCCCTCCTGGACTCCAAGTCCCCCGATCTTAATTAAACTAGCAATCATCACGACTAACATTTATGAAGCACTGAATCTAACCAGTTAAGTTCCTTGCTTCCTGGGCTCCAGATCTTTCTCTTTATTGCTTCAGGCCCTCATTTTGCTGGAGGATCCTGCTGTAGCTGGCTGTGAAAATGGACAGGGTAGCAGCTATCGGCTGACACTGCTGCCTGGTCCGGGTGGGTCATCTCATTTAACACGACAATCCTGTAGGGCACATACCACTGGCCCGTTTTATAGGAGAGAGAGTCAGGGAGGTTCTGCTCCCTGCCTCACGTCTGTCCCATCTCCCATGGGACTGAGTCTGGGGTCTTACTTGGAGTAGCTGCTCCAAAATGTATCAGTTGGGTGAATAAATAAATAAACATCAAATCCCGATCAAATAAACAATGAGGCTCTTATTAGATCAAATTGAGGGAGGGCCCAGCGCTGTGGAAAAGAGCTGTCTTTGTGGGACAGACCCTTCCTCTCTCCAAAAGCTGCCCCAGGGCAAAAGCTCTGGAAGCAGAAAGGGGGTCAGCAGGCAGTCAGATAAATGCATCTCCGGTTAATGGATTTGCCTGGATGACCAGAGCGAGAGGCATGAGATGGAGGGTTTAATTATTCCAAAGAAATCTCCACTTAATTGAAAGGACTTCTGGCCAAAAAAAAAAAAAAAAAGGAAAAACATATTTAAAAGGATGATCTGCTGCCTGTGAGGAAGGATGGAAGAGACACTGGTCCAGCCGCTTATGTGTTCATGGCCCTGGACACGAAGCTGTATGGAAAGGGACCAGAACCGTCCCCTCCTGTGGGCCTCATCCACAACCACTCCTCCAAAGTCCCCATTCCTATAAAAAGGACACGTAGAGAAACAGCTAGAAAATCTGCCCCCTGCAGGATGCTTCCCTCGTGTCCCAGTTGACTTTGCAACCTGTGTCCTCAGCTCATTCACTGAGATGACAGTATTTCCCATCAATTAGCACGGGTACAGGCTCAGTAGAGCTTCTCTGATACGCATTTTGAAAGCGGCGATTATTGTTCTAAATGGGCAGGGGCGTGGCAGTCACCGCCAGCAGTCACCGCCAGCCGCCAACCTAGCAGCCATTCTCACCTACCTATTAACAGAGCCCCCATTC